ACAAGGATGGACTCCAGGGGTCTAAGAGTACATATGCACAGAAAAAAAAAATTGTCAAGGATTACCTGTCCCTAGAAAACACACACTGTTTATATCCTACACATTTACAACTTTGATATACGAGACACATGTGCAGCACATGATCTTTTGTAATTTTGCCCTAAAAAAAGAATTTGCTTCCTCGCAAATTGAAAAAACTTTTTTTTTTCCTTCATCTAGCGTGGGTGCAAATAATGACTTCAACCAGAGCACAGTGCCATTGTGAGCACGAGGGATAATCAAAGCCTTATAACTGGTTTAATTATACAGAAGATATGGCACTATGAAGAGCACACTATAAAAACATTTCCACTGCTGAAAACCCACTCAACGTGGAGTCTTTCTAAAAGCATTTGGACTTTAAGCCAAACGGAATATATGACAGCAGCCATAACACTAGATACCCCATTTTGCATCAAATTAAGCATTTGAGGTTCATCCTTTTCAACCAACTTTTCTTTAGTACACAGCTTCAGTAAATCATTTCCTTTATTATAAAGCCTAACAAGTGTATGTGTTTGTCTGTTTTTGCCACTCTGACACTGCAGTTAACATGAACATGAACTCAGATTTTCTTCGCCTCATTACCAGAGGCACAAACAATATTTCAAATAAAACAATCATTAGCTAGTGTTTAAATAGGTATTGATTGACATTGTTTGAGGTTTCTGGAAAGACATTGTACTAAAGTCCTTGAAGTGCATACCAAAAAGCTGGAACAGATAACGAACATAATGTGACATGGGGGCCCCCCATACTATATTTACTCTGACCACCAAGAAATCAGAGCAGTTTCTGTCACTTATTGATACAAAAAAACACTACAAGCTCATGTACTGTCAAACATTCTAGAATTTTTTTTTTTAAGTTGCGCAAAAGAATTAACTTTTGCTTCATTGAAAAATACTTGAAAACGTAGTGGTGCTTGAAAGTTTGTGAACCCTTTAGAATGTTCTACATTTCTCCTTAAATATGACCTAAACCAGCATCAGATTTTCACACAAGTCCTAAAAGTAGATAAATAGAACCCACTTAAACAAATGAGACAAAAATAATATAATACTTATATTGTTGGCAGTGGCTATTTCCTCGCCAACATGCCACTTGCAAAACACTTGTGGCACCCTGAGGAGGAGAAGAGGAGGCACAAGAAGAAACGTTTGGTTCACAGTCCCAACTCTTACTTTGTGGATATAAAACTTCCAGGATGCTACAAGATCATGACAGTGTTCAGCCACTCTCAGAATGTCGTGCTGTGAGTTGGCTGTTCAACGGTCCTGTGTCAGCCCACTGGAAGCAAAGCATGTCTCACAGAGGGGCGCTCATTCAGGAGGAAGCAGAACTAGTTGTCTTTGGAGCTGAAAGAGACAGGAGGGGGTGGACCAGCTGATATCAGCTTCTCTAGGCTACAAGACGACGGCAGAGCCTGCGGTCAGGTTTAAAACGAAGACTTGACTGGACAGCAGATGGATTTTCAATGTTGGTGTTGAAAGATCGGTTGTTGCTGCAACTCCACCCTCCAACCCTCTCTGAGTACAATATTGTTTTGGCTAAAGAAAGAAAAATATATACCTGATCATTTATTTAGTGAGGGAAATGATCCAATATTACATACTTGTAAGTGGTAAAAGTACAGGTCCTTCTCAAAAAATTAGCATATTGTGATAAAGGTCATTATTTTCCATAATGTAATGATAAAAATGAAACTTTCATATATTTCAGATTCATTGCACACCAACTGAAATATTTCAGGTCTTTAATTGTTTTAATACTGATGATTATGGCATACAGCTCACGAAAACCCAAAATGCCTGTCCCAAAAAATTAGCATATCATGAAAAGGTTCTCTAAACAAGCTATTAACCTAACCATCTGAATCAACGACGTAACTCTAAACACCTGCAAAAGATTCCTGAGGCTTTTAAAAACTCCCAGCCTTGTTCATTACTCAAAACCACAATCATGGGTAAGACTGCCGACCTGACTGCTGTCCAGAAGGCCATCATTGACACCCTCAAGCAAGAGGGTAAGACACAGAAAGAAATTGCTGAACGAATAGGCTGTTCCCAGAGTGCTGTATCAAGGCACCTCAGTGGGAAGTCTGTGAGAAGGGAAAAGTGTCGCAGAAAATGCTGCACAACGAGAAGAGGTGACCGGACCCTGAGGAGGATTGTGGAGAAGGGCCGATTCCAGACATTGGGGGACCTGCAGAAGCAGTGGACTGAGTCTGGAGTAGAAACATCCAGAGCCACCGTGCACAGGCGTGTGCAGGAAAAAGGCTACAGGTGCCACATTCCCCAGGTCAAGCCACTCTTGAACAAGAGACTGCATCAGAAGCATCTCGCCTGGGACTGCTGCTGAGTGGTCCAACGTTATGTTCTCTGATTACAGTAAATTTTGCATTTCCTTTGGAAATCAAGGTCCCAGAGTCTGGAGGAAGAGAGGAGACACATAATTCACATTGCTTGAGGTCCAGTGTCAAGTTTCCACAGTCACTGGGGTGTCATGTCATCTGCTGGTGTTGGTCCACTGTGTTTTATCAAGGGCAGGGTCAATGCGGCTAGCTATCAGGAGATTTTGGAGCACTTCATGCTTCCATCTGCTGAAAAGCTTTATGGAGATGAAGATTTCATTTTTCAGCACGACCTGGCACCTGCTCACAGTGCCAAAACCACTGGTAAATGGTTTACTGACCATGGTATTACTGTGCTCAATTGGCCTGCCAACTCTCCTGACCTGAACCCCATAGAGAACCTGTGGGATATTGTGAAGAGAAAGTTGAGAGACGCAAGACCCAACACTCTGGATGAGCTTAAGGCCGCTATCGAAGCATCCTGGGCCTCCATAACACCTCAGCAGTGCCACAGGCTGATTGCCTCCATGCCACGCCGCATTGAAGCAGTCATTCATGCAAAAGGATTCCCGACCAAGTATTGAGTGCATAACTGAACATTATTTGAAGGTTGGCGTTTTTTGTATTAAAAACACTTGTCTTTCATTGGTGGGATGAAATATGCTAATTTTTTGGGACAGGCATTTTGGGTTTTCATGAGCTGTATGCCATAATCATCAGTATTAAAACAATTAAACACCTGAAATATTTCAGTTGGTGTGCAATGAATCTGAAATATATGAAAGTTTCATTTTTATCATTACATTATGGAAAATAATGACCTTTATCACAATATGCTAATTTTTTGAGAAGGACCTGTATGTTAAACTTTGCTTTCAGTGTCGGGGGTGGCGGGGTGGGGGGGTGTCACACCAGTCAGTGGACACAGGAGTCAGGTGGTTTGCCCCACCTTCTCTTCAGATTCAGTTCATGGACAGATGTTCTGACATTTTCCTTTAGAATTCTCTGATATCATTCAGAATTCATTGTTCCATCAATGATGGCAAGAAGTCCTGGTCCAGATGCAGCAAAACAGTCCCAATCCATGATACTACCACCACCATGTTTCACAGATGGGATAAGGTTCTTCTGCAGGAATGCAGAGTTTTACTTTTTCAAACAGAACACTTTTCATTTAAACCAAAAAGTTCTAGTTTGTTCTGATCTGTCCACAAAACATTCTTCCAACAGTCTTCTGTCTTGTCCACATGATCTTTAACGAACTGCAGACGAGCAGCCATGTTCTTTTTGGAGAGCAGTGTCTTCCTCCTTCAACCCTGCCATGAACACCATTGTTGTTCAGAGTTCTCCTGATGGTGGACTCATGAACATTAACATTAATGTGAGAGAGACCTTCAGCTGTTAGAAGTTACTCTGGAGTCCTTTGTGACTTCGCCGACTATTCCATGCCTTGGAGTGATGATCTTTGTTGGTCCATCACTCCTGGGGAGGGTAACAATGGTCTTGAGTTTCCTCCATTTGTACACAATCTGTCTGACTGTGGATTGGTGGAGTCCAAACTCTTTACAGATGTTTTGTAACATTTTCCAGCCTGATGAGCATCAACAACTCTTTTTCTGAGCTCCTCAGAAATCTCTTTTGTTCCTGTCATGATCCACTTCCACAAACATGTTGTGAAGATCAGACTTTGATAGATCCTGTTCTTTAAATCAAACATGGTGTTCACTCACACCTGAGCTACATCCCATTGATTAAAAATATCAGACTCTAATTTCACCTTCAAATTAACTGATAATCCTAGAGGTTCACATACTTTTACCATCACAAATATATAATATTGGATCATTTTCCTCAATAAATACCTAAATGACCAAGTAAAATATTTTTATTTCATTTGTTTAACTGGGTTCTCTTTATCTACTTTTAGTACTTTTGCGAAAATCTGATGATGATTTAGGTCATTTTTTTGTTAAACTATGAGAAATTATAAAGGTTCACAAATTTTCAAGCTCCACTGTAAAATATATGAACTTAGAATATTCAATATTAAACAGATATTTACAAGTACTTCAGTAAATCTGGACATTATTATGAGTAATTACTCAAAAATGAGACACATTAGTTTTTCTGATCAATCATTAAAAAAAATATTCAGGGCAACATTTTGGAGCCTAATTGCCATATACGTGATAATCTGTACTTCCTCCGAAGAAATCCATGAAAAACTGTGGATGCCCAAAGTTTACAATACAGAATTAATGTTATAAATTTCATAAAACCTGCACAGATACAATCACAACCACTCAATACAAGCCTATTTTTACATTTTCACCTAACATTACCTCCGCTCAATGTTTCCATTGTTGTGAGACTGTTTCACTTTCCCAGAGATCATCTTCCAGAGACAAGATATGGAAAATAAAAAAATATTGTTAGTTAAAGCATGAAGATTAAATAACTTTCTGTATGCATGTGCTAGAAAAGGATAATCTGTGTGTGTGCGTTTGTGTCTTTGAGTGGGAGGAAAGATCATGAAGTAGATGGGAGGGGATGTAACCTGCCTCACCAAAGGTATAAATTACACAAGTTTTTCAGCGATTTGACAAAAGAAGCATTTTCATGTGTTGAAGGCAACATTTATCTACGAAGGAATCTAACTGTGAGTATATATTTATTTATTTGCTTCGTGTTTCTTTTTTTATTTATTAGAATAGAATAGAATAGAATAGAATAGAATAGAATAGAATAGAATAGAATAGAAACAGCCTTTATTGTCCCACAGAGGGGAAATTCAAATGTAAAAGCAGCAACAGATAAAAAGATAAAAAGATTTCACACAAAAGTTCCTAAATGTTAATAAACAATACAATATATAAAGAAATAAGATAAACAATATCAATAATAATGTTCAATATGTGTTGGAACATTGATAAGGACAGACTATTTACAGTACAGTACTACAGGCAGAGTGTGTGTTTTAGCAGAGGTCAGCATGTATTTAATCCTTATTGAGTCTATTGGGAGCAGTGATGGTTGTAGAAGGACCTGAGGTAATTACAGAGTTAAATTGTTTCACACACAGATACTTATTAAAGAAACTTTTTTTTTTCTCTTTGCAAAGGATACAATTTAGGTTATCTATATGTTACTGGAGTAATATTACAGTATTAATGTCTTAATACATACAAAGTATGTATTGTATATCTTATATCTGCTGTCATCACTTAAACGACGAGTGTATTATGTTTGAAAAATAAAGACTTTAAAACTAAACCAGTCATAGCCTGTATTTATCAAACAGAGTCAATGACTAAATAACTTTGCAAAATGACTCTTTAATGTATGCCTTGTTCCCAGTCCTAGAAAATGAGTGTGCTGAGTGTAGATGAACAGATGCTCGGATATATTCATCATTTAACACGGATTCCTCATTTTTCTGGACTGAATAAAACGTGCATTGAATTTAAGGAAATGCAAACGTGAGACGTCATTTATATTTGACCCATCAAAATGAATGCGGTCATTTATTTACAGAATCAAAATTTAACATCAAACATTTACATTAATTTGGCAATTATGAAAATAACAACATAAGCAATCAATCAGGAAAAATCATACGGCCATGATTTTTCCGTTGCTTCACCACAGACATTTATGAAACTGTACAATTATGATCTTTTACCCACACGGATGTGGATGAGCATTTTACACAGACATTTCTAAATATCTGGAAGAATATCTACTTGATAAAAAGTTTAAAGATGGGAAAGAAGTTTAGAGGGAGTAAAGATGGTATGGGAGGGGAAGTGTTCACCAGAATTGACACTCTCCATCAGAACCCAGCTCTCCCCGGTACGCTTGGTAGGAAACTTGACTCATTACCTTTCTGAGATTAATCAGCAGATATGGAGCTCCGTTAACGCTACCTGTCCAGCGTCTCCTTAGGATGCTGTGAATCGTCAGAAGTAGTGGCGAGTGAAAATGTTATAATCCCATGGAACTCGGAAGAGCTCTGTTGTCATGTCAGGATCATCCCGTCTCTCACAGAACTGTCCGCGCAACAGAACTTCTCCAGAGCTTCAACAGAACCCAACAGAACTTCAACAGCACTCCATCAGAACTGAACAGAACTGAACAGAACTGTCCAGAACCGTTCCAGCACCATCCCAGAACTGAGTAGACCAGGAAGTACCGACATTTTAAAGAGCTCTTTCCCGGTTCACTTTTGGGAGTATTCCCATTGGTCAGAAACAACCAGACGGGGTGTGTTTTGTGACGTAAGAGGTTAGAAGACAGCAAGAATTGTTATGGAAAGATCAGAAATGTTCTCACAGACAGAGAGAGTTTTGTTTTGGCGAGTTTAGAAACAGGTGCCAAAAACCTCTATATTTACGTCTGAGAGGATTCTAAAAACATGACAGTTCGTTCTAACAACTTGTTTTGCGTTTGACTCCAACCTTGGACCAACTTACACTTGCTCATTCAAAAGCAGAAATCAGAAAAGGCATAATTACTCTGTAACAGCTTTGACATGAGTTCTAACTTTGCATGAGAATAAAAATCATTACACAGTTAATAAAATTGATTAGTTCACTGCAACATCTAAAATGGTTTGAACTAAGACACTTTGATTATCAACATTTGTAAAATAGTAATGATAATAAAACAGAGAGTGTTCTTTCACATGAATCTTCAAGAGAGAAAGTCTCAGGATGGGTGAACCGGCATTTCTGGATTCAAATCAATGAAATGACAGTTCCTGTCCCACAAGGTTCTTAAGGTCAAGATTTTTGACCTTAGACTTAGTTTTTGACATGGGCCTAGTCCACTACACTGAGTACATAAAAAGTGGATACTGATTAAAATGGTGATAATTGATTGGTCCATGTGTTGCTAGGCACCAGGAGGCTGTGCCAATGGGGCAGATTACATCTAAACGTAATGTACTGACCCAAGATGTCCACTTCTCGACTAATGAAGAAGGACCTCCCAGGTACTCGTCGCACCACTTTGACAGCGCTTTACATCGGAATAGTGACCTTCAAGTTCCTCCAACCATTGTTGTCCCTGATGAGGAGTCAAGGTTTGTACTAACTGCCAAAGTCAATTTCCAACATCTTAAATAGAATTAAAAATTAGAATTTGTAAAATTTGAGTTCATGTAGCAGCAAAATTTTCACTATAATTTTACAAGAAAATGTGTATTTTTTGCTGTTCTCTGTAAAGCTGTACTCCATCTCCTCACCTTCTGTTTAGGGTAGCTTTCAGAACATTTTAAACCAGTATCATATGGATTTCCTAATGATGTGTAATCCTATTTTGTGTAAAAGGGGTCCTTAAATGAATAATCAATCAATTGTGCGTTTAATACAGCTTTGATAAAACTTATGCTCTTAAAACATCCTGCGTTTTGTTCTAGTGGTCCTACATTTTACTAGTATTACTAAGACTACTAGAAAAAAATGAGGCTGTGTTTGAGATGTCTACTCATTCGCTACATAGTCAGACATTTTGCTGTGTTGTTCAAAATGTTATGAGTTTTTCTTTTAGCATTTGATGTTATAGAACCATGTCACATGGTACATAGTGTATAGAAGTAGTATGCTTCTACATATCTGTATGGATCATCATGTATTGCAGTCTGAAGTCACACAGCAGGGTAATTGAAGTTAATGATAAAGTTCATTGCTTGTCTTTTTTTATTCTCAGACTCAAGTTCAAGTTCAATAATCTTTATTATCCCCAAGGGAAAATTTGTTCCACAGTCAGCAGACACAGAAAACATTCATACTAGTCAAGATATTAAGACACTTAAATAACAGTACATAAATTACTACCACTGTTCAATGAGAAGCCTGTAAGCTACAGATACGTTAGTTTTTCAGCCTGTTCATCCTACGACTAGGCAGCAGATACCTGCTTCCAGATGGAAGCAACCTGAACTCACCATGGATTGGGTGATCAAGAGCCAGAATCAGCCTGGTCTTGTTCACTGACCACACCTTGTGTAGGTCAGAGAGGTTCTGTAGGGCTATGTCAGCCATTTTGATGCACATCCTGACAATCCCCAAGAGTTTGCTCCTGTTTTTGCTTGTTAAAAAGCCAAACCAACAAATGAAGATAAAACTTAAAAGAGACTCCATAAAACATGAATTAAAATATTCTCATATCGTATCAACTTGTTTAAAATGCTTATATATAGCCAGGTAGCTCTAAAATAGTGTGTCTCTTAATGTGCATGAGCTGAAGGGCTTGAAAAGTTATTGGAAACATATGCACTGATGCTGTCTTTAAAAATAATTTATTTTTAAATGTTAAACTTAAGACACATTGTATATTACAACATAAAGCAAGACACATTCCAATTGTTCTATTGCTATGGGGCTTGTTTTTATTATTTGTAAACACAATATACTCTGGGCTGCCTTAATGTACAGGATGTTTGTGGCCATGTGTGATCCATATAAAAAATAACCCACTTTAGCTCATTGGCCCATGGTCCAGGAGCTGAACAACCAGAATGTGTAATGCTAAATTTGGTGCATGTCCATTTGTGATGGACTGACTGCTTTCATCATGTCTGAGGAAGACATTTGAGATCTGTGTTCATAAAAAAATAAGACAATATTTGTCAGAAAAAGTTTGAAAAATAATTATTGAACAAACCGAAGTTGGCAGAGTTTTTTAAAGTGACAAATCTGCAGAAGGATGTTTACTGACTCCTCCACCACCTGATAGAGCAGGACAACACGCGGTCTGGGCACATGGATGTTACATTAGCTCAGTGCTTCTCAATTATTTTCTGTTATGCCCCCCTCAGGAAGAAGTAAACATTTCGCCCCCAACTCTCCACCGCAACTGTAAATAGTATGTCAATAAAACTGTTAAAAGTACACCTCTGCCTAACATTGTGTCCTTATTAACATTAAAGAAAAAATAATAATATAGCTCAACTTACAAGGAAGAATAACTTTATTAACATTGTTTATTGTTTGACTCCTTTCTTGGATCTCTTCTGTTTTCGTTATATATATGCTCCCCTTAGGGTCTATCCTGAGGAAACATGGCATTTTGTTTAATTTTTAAACTGTTTTGATATAGAAATTATGTTCATGAAACTTATGAACAGAATCAGTGATAATGGACAGTCCTGGTGGAGTCCAACTCCCACCCTGAAGAGGTTCGACTAACTACTGGCAATGTGAACCAAACTCTCGCACCACTTGAAGAGGGACTAAACAGCCCATAGCAAATGGCCCCCAATCCCATACTCACAGAGCACCCCCCACAGTGTAATTCGAGGAACACAGTCGAATGCCTTCTCCAAGTCCATAAAACACATGTAGACTGGATGGGCAAACTCCCATGACCCCTCAAAGACATTAGTGAGGATAAAGAGCTGATCCAGTGTTCCACAGCCAGGATGGAACCCGCATTGTTCCTCCTGGATCTGAGGTTCAACCAACGATCATACTTTCTTCTCCAGTACCCTGAATTGACCTTACCAGGGTGGTTAAGGAGAGTTATGCCCCTATAATTGGGGCACACCCTCTGGTGCCCCTTTTTGAAAAGAGGAACCACCACCCCAATCTGCCAATCCAGTGACACTGCCTCCAATATCCACGCAGTGTTGCAAAGGTGTGCCATCAACATCCAGAGCCTTAAGGAAATTGGGGTGAATCTCATCCACCCCAAATAAATAAAAACATACTCAAATAAACCATCCATTTTTTAATAACCTGAAATGTTTCATCAGGAAAGTATAGATTATTGCAATACAGGAGTTATCAATGAAAAGGGGAGCCGTGGGGCAGAGGTTAGAGAAGCCAGCCTTCTTGCCCATTCAACCCCCTGGATGAACTATATCAAAAATGTATGTGGAAAAGGTGTAGCACCCATACCTGCCTCCACCCTCATTAGCCCCACTCTTGGCCCTTGAGCAAGGCCCTTAACCCCCACCATCTGCTCCACTGAGCACCCTAGAAGGTAGCTCTCTGCTCTACAGAGAGGGTTGTGGTAGCTCGGTAGTCTGTGGTTGCGTGAATAAGGGCATTTTGTATAAAAACCAATGTCATGTCTTTGTGCGAGTTAGATTGCTGTGGTAACCACTGAGGAAGGGAGCAGTCGAAAGAAGAAGGAAAAAAAAGTTATTAATTAATCTGTATGTATAATCTGTATTCTGTTTTAGTCTTGTGAAATTTTTCAACCATTTGAAAATAAACTTTCTATCTGTAACCAACAGTATCTCAGAGCGCCACGGCTCGAGGACAGAGCTGCGTAGATCCTCTGTATATAGCACTATGGACCTGGCACCTCAGCTGGAACATTACGCTAATTCCCTTCCACATCAGATGATAAGAAGCAGGCCGTCTCTTGAAACCCTCCGCAAGACAGTTGAAGCAAGTGGTATTTATTATTTTTGAAATTTGTTTATTAAAAAAAATGTTTTTTTTTTTTTCAGGAGATGCTCAAAAAAAAGCCAATGCTAATTTAACTAAATTAACTAACTAACTAAAGTCTTCAATAAAGTGATTTAAAAATCTGCTGGCTTTGAGATAGTTGATTTCTGTGAGTAATGAGTCTAAGTAAAATGCATGAAAACTGTTTTTAAAATTTTACATTATTTTTTTTATTGGGAACTAGTAAGTAAATATAAAATGTGAAAAATAATATAAGTACTGAAAAGCTAAAACTGTAAAATAAAACAAACAAAAAAAGTAAAAATAAAACTGTACTAGTGATCAGTTGCCTGTTTGATCAATGAAGATTTGTAATTGTTAGGAACAGGATTTGCCACATCAAATTATTTTATTGTAATGTTTGCTGACAGTTGTTAACTTGTTAATAAGTGTTCAGACTGCATCAACAAATATACTGTATTTTATAGCATGCTTTTTTTTTCTCTTACTATATGCCTAATGGCCATTTTTTCATTTTAAACAATTTTGCAATTGTAAACAATTTCCACACCTAAATTGTAATATATAATTATTATTATTATTTATTGTTTTCCTCTTCTGTTAACAATTGTCTCATCATAGGTGGTGGATATGGGAACTAATGGAACAGCCACCTCCTCAGACTCAAGCAGTCAACCAGCACCAGATCTTAGAAATGAAGGATCCCAAGATCCTCCAGAGAAAGCTCCGGTTAGATTTGGTTGGATCATTGGAGTCATGGTGAGCTGTTTTACTGTAACAATGTTAAATAATTCTTAAACATAGCTAACGCCAAAATTTGCTTATAATTTAGTTTTAAACAAATTGGGTTAAAGCCTTTACTCTGTAGCTTTCACATTACCATCTCACAGCTATTATTATTATTATTATTATTATTATTATAGTTGTTATTATTTATTTATTTTTACTTTTGTCACAGGTTCGTTGTATGCTCAATATTTGGGGGGTCATCTTGTTCATCCGGCTGTCATGGATCACCTCTCAGGCAGGCATTAGTAAGTCAGTTCTTCATTTTTTTGATTACTGCTTCCCAACAGTAGACATACAGTATTTCTGCTGTAGTATTTACAGTTATTATTGATGTGTTGCTTGATAATGATATTGCCACAAGGGTGCAATTGAGTTTCATCCAAGGTAAAAATTTAATCTGGAAAACATACAAATTTATAAGAAACATTTGAAACATTATTTAATATTAACAGATTCAGAAGGCTGTCAAAATGTTTTACAGTGGGTGGTCTCTGATAATTCTGGAGTCACACACCAAACCAAAAGCCACAGTAAAATTTCAGTAGCTTCACTATGCTATTCATATATAGGTTATCTGAAAAATATTGCCTTATAATGGAAACATTTTTAAATATCTAGCAAGACCTGTTACCATTCAAATTAGGTGTTGGATATGACCGTTGGCTCAATCCAAATTGTAGCTGAATATCCAAAATTTCATCCATCCATCCATCCATCCATCCATCCATCCATCCATCCATCCATTATTGGCTCTGCTTATTCCGAAGTTGGGTCATGGGGGCAGCAGCTTGAGCAAGGAGGTACAGATGTTTCTTTCCACAGCCTCCTCTTTCAGCTGTTCTGGGAGGACTCCAATGCGTTCCCAGGCCAACTGAGAGACATGGTCTCTCCAGCATGTCCTGGGTCGTTCCGGGAGTCTACTCCCAGTTGGGCATGTCCAAAGCACCTCCTTAGGGAGGCGCCCAGGGGACATCCTTACCAGATGCCCAAACCACCTCTACTGGATCCTTTCAATGCAGAGGAGCAGCAGTTCTACTCTGAGTCTCTCCTGGATAATGGAACTTCTGACCTTATCTCTAAGGAAGAGTCCAACTACTCTGTGGAGGAAACTCATTTCAGCTGCCTGTATTCACACTCTCATTCTTTCGGTCACTGCCCAGAGTTTGTGGCCATTGGTGAGGGTAGGAACGTAGACTGACCAGCAAACAGATAGCTTAGCCTTACAGCTCAGCTCCCTCTTCACCACAACGGACCGGCACAGAGTGTGCAATACTGCAGATGCTGCACCAATTCGACTGTCAATCTCACTCTCTATTCTTCCCTCACTCATGAAAAAACCCTGAGATACTTGAACTCCTCCACTTGAGGAAGAACATCACCCTTGACCCGAAGAGAGCAATCCACCCTTTTCTGACTGAGGACCATGGCCTCAGATTTGCAGGGGTTGCTGATTCTCATCCCAGCCACTTCACACTCGAAGGCAAACCACTCCAGTGAGAAATAGAGAAGACTCCCAACAGAATTATATTCATCTGCAAAGAGCAGAGATGGAATTCTGAGACCACTAAACCAGAATCCCTACACCCCCTGGCTGCACTGAGAAATTATGTCCATAAAAGTTATGAACAGTATTGTGACAACGGGCAGCCCTGGCAGAGTCCAACTCCCATTCTGAAGGGGTCTGACACACTACCGGCAATGCGAACCAAACTCTTGCACTGATGTATATGGACTGAACAGCCCATAGAAATGGGTCCCTAATCCCATACTTACAGAGCACCCCCTACAGTGTACCTCGAAGAACATTGTTAAAAGCTTTCTCCAAGTCCACAAGACACATGTAGACTGGATGGATAAACTCACATGACCCCTTGAGGACCATAGTGAGGGTAAAGAGCTGGTCCAGTGTTCCGTGACCTGGACATAACCTGCATTGTTCCTCCTGGATCTGAGGTTTCACCAATGATCTGACTTGCCTCTCCAGTACCCCTAAATAGACCTTACCAGGGAGGCTAAGGAAATATGTGCCCCTATAATTGAAACACACCCTCCAGTCCTCTTTTTGAACTGGGGAACCACCCCCCTAGTCTGCCAATCCAGTGGCACTGTCATGTGATGTTGCAAAGGAATGTCAACTAAGACAGCCCCACAATAATCCAGAGCCTTAAGGAAATCAGGGTGAATCTCATCCACTCCTGGAGCCCTACTACCTCGGCGACCTCAGCCACGGTTATGGACAGACAATCCACAAAGTCTCCTGACTCAGCTTTATTCATGGAAGATGTACCAGTGGGACTGAGAAGGTCTGAGAAGTATTCCTACCACCTCCCAACAACATCACTGGTTGAGGACAACAACAATCCACCACTACTGAAAACATTTTTAGTAAAGTGCTGTTTTCCCCTCTTCAGCTGCCTGATGGTTTGCTAGAAAACCTCCTCTGAGCAGATCAAGAGTCTTTATCCAAGGCCTCACTAAACTCTGGAGTCCCACCAGCCAACAAGGCCTGAAAGGCCTCCTCCTCCTCCTTCTTCAGCTTGACAGCCTACCTAACCCAGGGTGTCCACCACCAAGTTTGAGGATGCCCACTGCAAGAAGCACTGACAACCTTGCGGACACAGCTCAAGGCAGCTATTTCAGTTATTTAGGAGTGGAACATGACCCACTCGAACTCATTGTCCTCTGCCTCAGCTGGGATGTGGTTACAGCTCTCCCTGAGGTGTGAGTTGAAGATCTTTCTGATGGGCACTTCTGTCAGGCATCTCGTTTGGGTCTACTGGGTCTGTCTGGCATCTTTCCCTGCCATCTGACCCAACTCACTACCAGATGGTAATATGTTGATAGCTCAGCACTTTCTTTACCTGAGTATCCAAAACAGACACAAATCAGATGACATGACTGCAAAGTCAATCATACATCTATGACCTATGGCAACCTGGTGCCAAGTGCACTTATGCACACCCTTATGTTTGAACATGGTGTTTGTGATGGACAAACTATGACTAGTAGAGAAGTCCAACAACAAAACATCACTCAGGTTCAGATCACAGAGGCTGTTCCTCCCAATCACGACCCTCCAGGTTACACTGACATTGAAGTTCCCAGCAGAATAAAGGAGTCCTCAGCTAGCACACCTTCTTCCACACACCCCCACCCCCACACCCCACACCCCCACCCACGGTCAATAACTCCAAAACGCCAGGTACTTTGAACTGCCATTTGGCGTGTAGGCACAAACAACAGTCAGAACCTGTTCCCCCACCCAAAAGCACAGGACACCCTTTCATCCCTGGTGGATATCTAAAAATTGAATTAGGAATATACTGTACATTTTTGTATTTATTGAGGTTTATTAGGTGAAGCACCACTTGGACTTCAAGTTAACTCCAAATTTTCAGTTGTAGATGTAATTCACTAATTACTTTTGTAAAGTATTAAGTCTGTCAAGTGGTTCTTAATTTATTTTGTTAAAAGACAGACTTAATATAAAAGACTATCTGGCCAGAATATTTAGTATTGGAGACCACCAAATCTATGGGTGGATTTAGGCATTTTGCCCCCACTGATCTCTATTTTTGTTGTGCCTGGGTATACATGGTTCAAACAGTAAATTTATAGAGATTTATTTTGATTTTTTTTCCTGTAAAGCATACATATACTTTGTAGATTTTTCCATCTGATTCATTGTTTGAATCCACATGACTTTCTTGTTTAGTTTTGCACCTACCTTTTAGTTGCTAAAACTGCACTCAACTAAAATGCAAAAAAAAATCTTGATTTTGTCTGATACTTTAATTTTCTTCCTGACAGTATTGACGTGTGTCATAATTTTAATGTCTGTGGTGGTGACATCTGTGACTGCGTTATCCATTTCTGCCATTGCTACCAACGGGAGGGTGGTCTCAGGTGAGTCTTTCTGGAATGTCAGGAACCAACTATCTGGGAAAAAATGTCTTTAAAAAATTGCAAAATAAATTCAAATAGGTTCTTGTAAAGAGAGGTTGGCCTACTCACTTGCCAACCAATTTGACCCCAAGAGACCAAATAATGTGCAAGCCTCAATGATCATTTATGTTTTGCAGCCTATTATTTATTATAAATTACAATGAAGAGTATTGTCTGGTTTAAATTTCCTTTTTGGGAGGAACATAGGTCAAATTTAACATGTAAAAAATTCTATTTTCCAAAGCTTCTTGCAGTTGATGCAATTTACTGTGATGTGATGATTTGTTTACTGTCGAAACTCAGGTGAGTGATATCAATGTTAAGTGAAGCTAATGGCTAGCAAGACCGTTGGCTGGTAGAGCAGTTGGTTAGCAAATGGGCTATATTTGCGTCATTTAGCACAGTAAAGTTAATTAAAACCAGTCAGAGTATTTTGGACACTTTTCATGTTAAATTAATTATGTTTAGTTAAAATGTGTTCATGAGTTCATTGTTTCATATGAAAATTGTTAAAATGAATACATGCTTGTGGCACATTGGGGTAGATTTTCTTTAAAAATATGAAAGTTATAAGGGAGGATGTTAAGTCCATTATAAATTTGCAATGAGTGAGGGAAACCAACAACGCCACCTGGAATTATACTCCAGGAAATCTAAATAGTAAAAGGACATGGAGGTTTGTACTGGAGGAAGGGACAAGATTCAAATAAATTCTACTAAACTTATTGAAGGGCAAAGTGGTACAAAATACATTTAAAAGTATTTCACATTTTTAAATGTGCAATGCACTTAGAACAGAAAATAATAATAAAAAAAAAAAACAGAATTTACTAATTTAATTTTTAAAACAGGACTTTGACTGAAGTTAAAAACATTTTACAATATCAGGTGAGACAGAGGCTGACTAACGGGGGAGGCTGTGAAGACAAAGGGCCCACATCCATTGAAGAAAAAGTGATCTCCCAAATGTATGGCCACTGAGATTAACACTGCAGGAGTCATTTTTGAACCTTGGCAGCACCTATAGTTAAACATGGCAAGTTCATCCCTCTGCTTGTGAATATGTTGGAGAAGCACAGGGAGTAATAAAAAAAAAAGCACAAGAGAGCCATGCTATGTGAGTAGTGAGAGACAGAGAACAGAAGAAATTATAGAGAAACAAAGAGAGAGAGGATAAAGTGTGAGAAAAGATGTGCTGTTGGTGTGATATCGCCAAGTAAACCACAGACTTTGATAGAGCTGGATAAGTATTTGTTTACTGTGGAAAATTCGGTGAGTGATATAGTAGAAGCTAATGGCTAGCAAGACCGTTGGCTAGTAGGGCAGTTGTTAGCAAATTGGATATATTAGCATGATTTAGGACAGTAAAATGTTAGTTACAACCATCCATCCATCCATCCATCCATCCATCCATCGGATTTATATATTTCGCTTGTTCCGAAGTCAGGTTGCAGTGGCAGCAGCTTGAACAGGAATGTTCAGACATGTCTGTCCACAGCCACCTCTTCAAGCTTTTCTGGGAGGACTCCAAGTCCTTCCCAGGCCGAGAGACAAAGTTTATCTAGTGTGTCCTGGCTCTTCCCTGGGGGTCTCCTCCCTGTAGGACATGCCCAAAACATCTCCCTAGGGAGGCACCCAGGGGGCATCCTTACCAGATGCCCAAACCACCTCAACTGGCTCCTTTTGATGTGGAGGAGCAGTGGTTCTACTCCGAGTCTCTCCCAGATAACTCAACTTTTCATCCTATCTCTGAGGGAGAATCCAGATACCCTGCAGAAGAAACTTGTTTCAACTGCCTGTATCTACAATATCATTCTTTCAGTCACTACCTAGAGTTTGTGACCATAAGTGAGGGTAGGAACATAGACCGACCAGTAAACAGAGAGTTCCGTTCTCTCTTCACCACAACGGACCAGCACAGAGTCTGCAATACTGCAGCTACTGCTCCAATCCATCTGTCAATCTTGTGCTAAATTTTTCCCTCACTTGTGAACAAAACCCTGAGATACTTGAACTCCTCCACTTGTGGCAGAACCTCGCCCTCGACCTGAAGAGAGCAATCCACCCTTTTCTGACTGAGGACTATGGTCTCAGATTTGGATGTGCTGATTTTCATCCCAGCCACTTGCACAGATGTGAACCTTTCCAGTTAGAGTTGAAGATCCTACCACGATGACATGATAGTTAAAACTAGTCTGAGTATTTTGGACACTTCGTGCTGTATTAATGATCTTGTTTAATTAAAATGTGTTCATGAGTTCATTGTTTCATATTAAAATAGTTAAAAATGAATACACAATAAAAAAGATGCTACTGTATTATCTAGAGCATGTTCTAATTTTATAATGAGTGAACATTTGATAACATTCCTGTATAAAACAGTTGAAATAATTACATGGAGAGGTTATCTCTACTTGTAGGGTGAGAAATTCAATTATCTGTGAGAGACTCGGAGTAGAACTGCTACTCCTCCACGTCGAGAGGAGCAAGTTGAGGTGGTTTGGGCATCTGGTAAGGATGCCCCCATGGCGCCTCCCCAGGGTCTCCTCCCAGTGCCTGAAGCACGTCCCTGGGGAAGACCCAGGACACGCTGGAGAGACTATGTCTCTCGGTTGGCCTGGAAACACCTTGGAATCTTCCCAGAAGAGCTGGAAGAGGTGGCTGTGGAAAGAGATGTCTGGGCCTCCCTGCTCAAGCTGCTGCCCACGTGACCCGACTTTGGAATAAGCAGAAGATAATGGATAGATGGATGGATGGACCATCTATAATAATCACAAATGAAATATATTCAACCACTACCTATCTCTAAGGGAGAGTCCAGCTACCCTGCAGAGAAAACTCATTTCATCCACCTGTATCCATGATCTCATTCTTTTGGTCACTACCCAGAGCTCATGACCATAGGTGAGGGTAGGAACGTAAACTGACCGCTAAACAGAGAGCTTTGTCTTACAGCTCAGCTCTCTCTTCACCACAACGTACCAGTACAGAGTCCGCAATACTGCAGATGCTGCACCAATCCATCTGTCAATCTCACGGTCCATTCTTCCCTCACTCGTGAGCAAAACCCCGAGATAATTGAACTCCTCCACTTGAGGTAGAACCTCACCCTCGACCTGAAGAGAGCAATCCACCCTTTTCCAGTTGAGGACCATGGGCTCAGATTTGGAGATGCTGATTTTCATCCCAGCTTCTTCACACTCGGCTGTGAACCACTCTAGTGAGAGCTGAAGGTCACGGCACAATGACGCCAACAGGACCCCATCATCTGCAAAAAGCAGAGATGGACTCCTGGGGACACCGAACTGGAAACCCTCCACCCCCTAGCTGCACCGAGAAATTCTGTCCATAATAGTTATGAACAGAATCTGTGACAAAGGGCAGCCTGGCGGAATCCAATAGATGGTGCTCAAGTTATTTTTTAGCAGCTGGTGTTCTGCACATTATGGGTGGACTGTTTTTTTGTTTGTTCATTTTTTTTTTGTTTGTTTTTTTGAGACCTGTCAATTTACTGAATTAAGTTTTATGGATGAGATGGCAAGCCAGACCCATGGATGATATTCTGAAAATTTCTGCTAGTAGACTGGCCAGCTGCTACATTCATTCATTCAACCTTTATTTAGACAGGTTAATCCCATTGAGCCTGGAGGACTCATTTACAAGAGAGACCTGATTTCAACAAAGAGTGATGACAACAATGGACAACAGCAACAACAATAGACAATCATAAAAGAGGCATACAGATTATTATTTTTATTTTACAAATTGAAATAAGATGGCAAAAAAAGTAGCAAAAACATCTAGATTATATGGCGAATGTAGAAAACTAAAATCAGGAACATATCTGCATTGGTCCTTGCCAGGAGTCCAACAGATTCTTAAAGCAACTTAGAGAGGTCAAGGTCGAGAGCTTCAGATCTTTTTGCAAGATATTCCAGTAAACAGGAGCATAGTAGGAGAAAGCCCTTTCGCCAAGTTCAGTCTGCACTGAGGGAACACTGCAGGTAATAATGTCCTGAGAGTGCATGCTGTAGCTGCACTCACCCAGATACATGTAGGAGGAGATGTATGAAGACAACAGACCAAGAAGTGGTTTAAAGATGAAAATGTACCAGTGAGAGAGTCTGCGTGAAGTTAATGATGATCAGTTAACCAGTGAATACAGGGTGCAGTGGTGGGTACGATAATTACAGCCAGTTATGAATCTTGGTGCACCGTGACAGACAGCATCCAACATCTGCAGGGTGTTTGTAGGAGCATTCATGTAAATTTTATTTATTATTGCATTTTATTTTGGGGGATCTGTGGTTTTTGTCACTGCAATACCAACTGTATATTTCTTGTTCTGTGTTATGACAATAAATATGTCAGTTTACTACTAATTATATTCATTGCTTACTCCTCAGAACCTAGGTCTTATGAGCATTTACCGGTTATAATATTTAGCCCAAGTGCTATATGTTCTTTAAATGCTTGTTAGCATTTTAATAACAGTTTTATGTTTAAAATATTTTCCAGGTGGTGCATATTTTATGATCTCCAGAACTCTTGGTCCTGAAATTGGAGGACCGATTGGGATGGTTTTCTCTTTTGCTAATGCACTGGCGTGTGCACTCAATACAGTTGGCTTTGCAGAGGTTGTTCGAGATCTAATGCTGGTACGTCTTTTTTTTAAACTGTGGGAAAATGATTATATGTGAAAGTTGTTTCATACATAAAGAAAAGCAGACTGAATTAATACTCTGTTGTTTATCATTGCTTTACTATTTCGCATAAAAGTATATAGCCAGCTATGTAAAGCTTTAAATTACAATGATATGAAGCACCAGAACACGAGTGTTTCATTTTCTTTTGACACCATTTTATCCTGTTTAATAGCTAAAATGGCTGTTTACATTTTTCTGACAAATCTGTTTAATCAATGTAGGAGTTCAATGTCATCATGGTTGATTCAGTCAACGATGTTCGTATTGTGGGTGTGATCACTATAACCATTCTTCTGCTCATCTCATTGGCTGGAATGGAGTGGGAGACCAAGGTGAGCACATTTAAAGTGTATTTCATAACATTTGGTAAAACATAAAATTAAATTTCTATGTATCTTATCACTTAACACTATATTTTTGTGAAGCACTCAGTAATGTTGGAGACAATCTTTTTCACTAACTTTTACCCAAAAGAAACACACTCAAAGGCAGGTGAATATTTTTAACTGGCATTTTACTTTCAAGGGTTGATTTTAGGACGTTACATACAGAGATACATAAATGCATATGCATTAGAACATTGGCACAGAAATAAACCTTCAGTAGTGTAATCGGTAGATATTTACACAACAGTTAATGTGGGCATTCCCTCATACCAGCCACAGTCAGCCACACAGATACAATCTATGGCGTTTGGCAAGTCAGCCTCCAGATGGAGTTAAGAGTATGTTTTGGGCATGTTCTCATGGCAACAAGGAAGAACTCCAAGGAGGTACTGTGAGTTGGTAAGCCAGCCTCCAGGTTGCGATAAGAGATTGTTTTGGTAGACAGCAGGTGTCAGGGTTTTCAAGGCAGATCAGGACAGGAGAACCCAGTTGCGCAGGCAGGACTCAGGGGGCAGACATATAAAATAAAATACTTTTAATAATAATAATAATAATAAATCAAAAGGCTGACATGGCAGCAAAAACTTACAAAACAGACTCAGGAACAGGATTAAACAGGATCAGACAGACAGACAGGCAGGACAGGCAATACCCAACGATGAACCGACACTGACAGGACAAACAGACAGACTTTATATACACACACACAACCAGGACATGACACATGTGACGATAATCAGACAATCAATACAGACACAAGGGAGAACAGACAGGGGAAGGCCCACTAGATGGTGCCATCCCTACAGCAGGATCTCAGGGCAGGGAAATATGTTTTTCAGACCCAATATTAAAACACAATAAAAACATTCATAACCTTTGAACGAAAAGTAGCATTACATAATAGTATGTTTCATGCCAAGAAAAAGCACCGCAGATGCCATCTTTGCTTTGAAGATGTTAATAAAGAGGTACAGAGAGGGTCCGAAAGAACTCTGTTGTGTCTTTGTGGATTTAGAAAAAGCATGTGACAGGGTGCTGAGGGAGGTGGTGTGATATTGCATGAGGAAATCTGGAGTGGCAGAGAGGTATGTTAGACTGGTACATGACATGTATGAGGACAGCAGGATAGTGGTAAGATGTGCTCTAGGAGTGACAGATAGCTTCAAGGTGGAGGTGGGATTGTATCAAGGATCAGATCTGAACCTCATCTTGTTTGATCTGATGATGGCCCAACTAACAGATGAGATCAGACATGTATCTCCGTGGACTATGTTGTTTGCAGATGACATTGTGATTTTTGGTGGTGACAACAGGGAACATGTGGAAGAAAACTTGGAGAGATGGAGGTATGCACTTGAAAGAAGAGGAAGCCGTAGTAAGACAGAGTACATGTGAGTGAGTGAATGGGAGACAGTGCAACAGTGAGGCTACAAGGAGCAGCAGTCACAAAGGTGCAAGACTTCAAGTAGTTCAGACCAACTGTCCAGGAAAATGGAGAGTGTCATAAAGAGTTGAAAAACAGAGTCCAGGTAGGATGGAGTGGATGGAGAAAAGTTTTAGGAGTGATTTGCAACGAAAGAGTGTCAGCAAATGTCAAAGGAAAAGTTTACAAGACAGTGGTGAGACCAGCTATGCTGTATGGTCTGGAGACAGTGGCACTGACAAAAAGACAGTAGAAAGAGCAGAAAGTAGCAGAAATTAAGATGTTGAGATTATCCTTAGGAGTGACAAGGACGGATAAAATTTGGAATGAGATCATCAGAAGTACAGCACTGGTTGAACAACTGGGAGATAAAGTTAGAAAGGCCAGACTGAGATGGTTTGAACATGGCCAGAGGAGGGACGGTGGGTATATTGGTAGAAGGATGTTAAAAATGCAGCTGCCAGGAAAGAGACAAAGATGAGATACATGGATGCAGTTAGAGAGGACATGGAGGTAGATGGAATGAGGACAGAGGGTACAGAGGACAGAGTGAGATGGAGGAGGATGACTCACTATGGCAACCCTTGAAGAGTGAAAAGCCAAAAGAAGAAGTAGCATTACATATTACAACTCCATACATACCTGGAAAATAACTAGTATGATCCTGGTGCTCACCAGGTATATACAAACAAATCAACTTATCATGCATTTCTACCAATTATTTCTAATGTTCCTTATTTTGTATTCCTGACAAATATTTTATTACCTTTGTGTTTGTTTCTGCTTCAGACCCAGATTTTGTTCTTTCTTGTTCTTTTGATCTCCTTTGCAAACTACTTTGTGGGTACACTAATCCCCTCGAACAATGATAAACAAGCTGTTGGCGTCTTTGGATACAGAGGTAAAGTTCTGCTTTTGACTTAACATTTAGAAAATGTTAACTTTTTATTACTGCAAACCAAAACATTTGTATGCTTTAAGTTTTATTTTAATGTGAATTCTGAACAGGTGTAATTACACAACAAATAACCATCTGAGCAGCATGATAATACTGAGTCAGCCAGCTGCTTTTAGTGTAAATTTTAAAATATGAAATTCTGTCAGTGACAATTTAAGCTTCATGTGGAATATGCTGACAAAAATAAAAACAACTCTAAAACTTAAAATTATCTTTAAACATACTACTGTATCCTTACATATGAAGTAAAATAGGAAAATGTGGGATTGAGGTCAAACCAATCTAGTCTTAACAAAGTTAAGTTAGGTCCTCTGAACAGTTTCTTTTTGTTGAAATGTTTTGTCTTTCATCCAAAAGACTTTATCAGTTCAAGGTGCCACAACAAACTTAGTCTCATAAAAAACACCTTCTCATAGTGGGTCAACCAGTTTGATGGTGCTTGCTCACGTGGTTTATCTGCCCTCTCCCCCGCTGACTCGTTTTCATTTTCTTTTTTTTCATGTACCCTTTATTTATACAGGTAGTCTCATTGAGCCATGAGAACTCATTTTCAAGCGAGACCTGTTTAGGGAGCAGATGGTGGGGGTTAAGGGCCTTGCTCAGGGGCCCAGAGTGAGGCAAATGAGGGTGGAGGCAGGTGTGGGTGCATCACCTTTTCCACCCACATTTTGATGTTGACGGTACCAGGAGTTGAACCTGCGACTTTCCAATCCCAGGCCCATCTTCTCTAACCTCTGCGCCACAACTCCCTCATTTGAGGCTCACCCGTTTGAGGCAATCATAACCAAAGTGTTTCAAAATATCTTGATTCATGCTCAATAATCCAGGTACAAAAATCTAACAAAGTTAGGTCAGGTCTTCTGGACAATTTATTTTTTGTTGCAACGTTTCATCTTTCATCCAAAAGACTTCCTCAGTCTTGGTACATCTGCCCGCAAACCAAAATGTCACATTCAGATGTTTAATGTTTGATTAAATTTTTGGTTTCTGTTTTGAGTGTTACTTATTTAAACCTAACCATGTACAGGTACATCTAAAAAATGGAACATTGTGGAATGTTCAATGTTTTTTGTCAATCGCTTCAGAAAGTGAAACTCATAGATTTGTTTCACACTGAGTGAAATATTGCAAGCCTTGATTTCTTGTATTTTTGATGATTATTGCTTACATATTGAAAACTCAAAACTCTGTCTCAGAAAATTAGACTATTGTGATAAAGTTCCATAACGGATATTCATGCACAGTACGCACTATGCTCAGATGAATCCTAGACATGGGCTTCAAATGTTGCATTCCTCAGGTCAATACACTCCTAAACCAGAGACAACTTCAGAATCACCTTTACTCATATTTCACATTAATCTTAGAACACTGACGTACAACTTGACATTTCGTAAAGTTGTTAATTGTGAAATAAAAACTGCATACATGTATGGAAATGAAAATGATATCAGATCACCAGTATTGGGAACATATTCACTAATCTGTGTAGGGGAACACCTCACCCCAGAAAAAATGAGTTCACCTCACCTCAAAAAACATCATTCCTGTGTTTTGTTTGAAACTGTTTAAAATAATATTCATCTATTCCCTTGGGAACGAACAGACATATTTTTTACAAATATTCAGCTCAGCTCACAAACTTCCTAAGTTGACTCTAATGTAATAAAAAAAGTTTTGTTAACCTCACTAACCCAATATGAACTCATTTCCCATGAAACAGACAGATCATTTAATGAGAGCTTTTGTTCAACTGACCTTTGAGTTTGAAAGATCCGAAAAAAACACAATGTTGATATCTTGCTTTAACAAAAAGTAATACTCCCAGACTCTGGTTCCCATGAAGATAATAACAAAGAAAGAGCTTTGTTTGTCCAAATTGACATTCCTTTCCAGGAGATGTACAGTCAACTCTGTTAAAACATTGCTCGTTTTAAATCTGATTCTAAAAATGTCATATTTTGATTGTTTATCCATGAGGAATGTGTGTTTTAAGTAATCGTTCCTTAAGATAATACATTTATCTTGTTTTCTCTTTCTAGAAGGAAACTTTGAAGGCAGAAAAAGGACTTTAGATTTACTAAACAAGGCCAAGAGTTAGAACTCCTGGAGATGAACCAATCATCTCTGTTTTAACACAGAGTTAAATTTCACTTTTAAGAAAAACTCCAAAGCCTTCACACTGGAACTCAGAGAGGAAACACGCTTCACACTTGACCCCAGAGACATGATATCAAGAAGAAGCACCTTCAGCAGACAACTTTCGAGCAAACTTCATACTTCCAAGAGAGACATCCTAGGAAGAAAAGATTTATAAAACACCCTTCTGCAGACTCCTCAAGATGAGAGACGGGACGGAAAGATACAGAACCCAGCACCTTCCCAGAGTGAACTGTGAGTTATCAATCCAAAATAGTCATCCATCGGAACCAGGTCCAGAGGGAGGATCACGACCTTCCATATCCAAGGTAACTCGAGAGATTTCTCAACTTACGAGCTACCTTCTGCACCTGCCTGGTATCTCCGGAGCCTGTTCAACTGGACAACTCTCATGGTTTCATCTGTTTGCTGGTGACCTTACATCACAGTAATTGCACATTAAACTTAGAGTTCAGCTTGGAAATAAACCAGTCCTAAGTCTGCCTTTTAAGTTTCACTAATTTTACTCATCAATTAAATCTTTGATTCAAAACCGTTTGATGTTCATTTAACTTTGTCATACATAATTTTCACCATATACATCACAGATTATTATTTTTATAATAAAATACAAAAAAATCTACTGAATTTGTGATTTTTTTTGGCATGTGTGTATTAATTGATTTGATATCCTTTAAACACGAGAAAAGAACTTACGTTCAATTTACATTAGTTTGGGGTAAATAGAGATTGATTTTCCTCTCCAAGAGAGAGGTGGTGCCCAAACAATGAGGTTATTTGCATAATATGTGAATTTCTTATGCGCTTACCTCGTAACTGATAAATAACAATATATTTACACCCCATATCGCTACATCTGCTAATAACTAATAGAAGGACTAAATTTTCATTTAGTGGATTTGTGTTTTTGCTAAATTTGTAAATCATTAGTAGAGTTAGTTTCCACTATAGTAAGTTTAGCCATTTTTAATTCTGCTAACAAAAATCACAAGCTTTTTCCCCGTAGGTTATTTGTGAGTCTAGAAGAGTCCGGTAGGCATGCTTTTGGCTTCTTACATGTACAAGTAACAATATGTGATTGGACAATGCTGCATCGGCAAGCTGAAGGCACGCATTGGCTTACCACGTGTACACATGACAAGGCGTGATGGGTCAACACTGCAACAGGAAGCTGAAGGCATGCTATTGGCTTACTATGTGTACACGTAACAAGATGTGATTGGTTGATGCAGCTTCAATTGGAAGGAGTCAAAGAAGTGTGATGCAGACTGATTGATAGTCATCTTAGAGCTTTAGTATTAGCTTCCACTACATTTTTTAACCTGTTTAATGGTTTAGCATTAGAGAAGCAAATGTTTTAGTTACTGGAATATGGGTTAGTGACGCTAACTTTCTTGTTAGCTGTGCCCACCACTGCAGATCACAGTAACTGGTATGGGGAAAAAAATAAAACAATTGTTGTATTTTTCCTACAAAATCAATCATAATTATTTTAAAAATTTTGACTGACCATCTGAGTTCTCAATAAATTTGTTTTCCTTCATGATTTTTTTCCTTTCCTTTCCTTTCATCTTGTAAATCCGTCTTCAAGGCTACAGACTAACCTGTATAAATAAATGTTGAATGAATGAATAAGTCAATTCCATTTTGGCCTCTTCTGCAGGTGATATATTTGTAGAAAACCTAATGCCAAACTGGAGAGGATCCCAAGGAAGTTTTTTCCAAATGTTTGCCATTTTCTTTCCTGCTAATATCGGCATTCTATCTGGAGCCAACATATCTGGAGATCTTAAAGTATGAAATTCATCAAATAATAGTTGTACTCACTAGATTTGGTTTTAGGAATGTTGTAAAACTGACCTGTATACCATTCTTTCCTTTGAAGGACCCTGCTACTGCTATACCCAAAGGCACCCTGATGGCCATTTTCTGGACAACACTCAGCTACTTGGGGATAGCAGTAACTGTTGGTATGTATTCCCTGAATAGAGCAAAAACTATGAAAGGTATTCACTCATTAAATATGTTCTTGGTGTAGGATGGTGAAAAAAAATAATGCTCAAGTATTATAGAATTATCTGTTTCAAGCTGGTTTCAAGTGCAAGTAAACAAGAGCAAGACAAACTAATTAGGCTTAATTTCAATTAGCTCTTTTGAAATGGGATTATGTGGAAAGTTATAAACAAACAATATGGTATGTCTTTGTTGTTTAAATTATCCTAGTTTGAAGAAATGCACATGTATGCACAATCATGTACAATGTACAATAACTGGACTCCTCACGTCCTCCAGGACCTCCAACGACCGATTTCAAATTAAGAGGGGTGTAGCCAACATTTACATCTTCTATATGAAAATAAACACACACTTAACTAAATTAAATTTCCTCCCCCCAAAAAAATTACATATTCACATTCAATTTAAATTTAAAGCTAAACGACAATCTAAACCCAACCAGAATCTAAAACACCTCCCCTTCCTCTCAATCAGTGTGGATTTCACCAATGGTGCTGATTAAAAACACCAGTTCCATGTCAGCGCTGCTCATGGGCTTGCTTCCATGGAATCACAACCCAGTGACCTCAATGAGAAGGAGAGAATGATGAGAATAACAAAATATTAAAGTTAAATTAATAAATTGATCACATGGTTTAAACCTTTTCCCAAATACAAACAAAAAATAAATTTATGAATTGAGTTCATTTAGAGCATAGAAAGTGGGCAGCACACTGGCACAACTTATAAAGCTGCTGCCTCTCAGTGAGCAGGTCCCTGGTTCAAATCCCGGTCCAGGAGCCTTTCTGGGTGGAGTTTGCATGTTCTCTCTGTGCATGCGTGGGTTTTCTCCGGGTACTCCAGTTTCCTCCCACAGACCCAAAACATGCATGTTAGGCTAATTGGTAACTCTAAATTGTCCCTAGGTGTAAGTGAGAGAGTGAATGGTTGTTTGTCTCGTTTGTCTCTATGTGTCCCTGTGATGGACTGGAGCCCTGTCCAGGGTGTCCCTCGCCTCTCGTACAGTGATAGCTGGATATGGGCACCAGTGACCCCTACAACCCAAAAAGGAAGAAGTGGGTGAAGATAATGGATGGATGGATAGAGCATAGAAAGTACATAAATACAGCACCTATTAGTAAGGGGGTAAATCCCTCACACTCCCCCCCCCCCCCCCCCCCCC